AACAGGCCAGGGACGGGCAAGAGCCAGGGGCCGGCCACGCTGGGGTTCTGAGACTCACAGAGGGCCGTGCTGTTTGGGGGCTGTGAAGGAAGGGAGCTCTGTTAACTCTGTTAATGTCTTAACCTTGCCCCCATGGGCTGTGGTCACCGTGTGCGAACTGGCCCAAGGCGGAGGTTGTCACTCGGCCTTCCTCGGTTCTTCCAGGCTCCGTCTGGCGTCCAGTGGCCGGGTGTAATCGCGAGGGGGAGGTGGGAACTGTTGGCCTCCTACACCTGTGGACGGTGAGGGCAGCCCCAGGGGCCGCTGGCGGCAAGGGGGCTCCTGGGAAGTGGCTGAGATGACCCTTTCAATCCAAGAGGTGGAGGAAAACCGCGCTCCAGTGTGCTGTGACGGCCACGGCCCTTCCAAGGTCGGCCGCTCTCCCCCTGGCCGGGACCCTGCCTGTGTGGAACCCCAGCCAGCCAGTCTGGGGCAGGCAGGAGACTCTGAGGGGTCTCCCCCTCCCCCACGTCGTCTGTTTCTGTTCCATGTAAACAGTTCCTGCCGTAGTAACATAGACAAATATAGCAGAGAATGCTTTTCTGGAAGAAGAATGCTCCCTGAGCATTTTTTAACCATTTTTGGGAAGAATCGATCTTTCTGTGAGTTTCAGAGAGACGGAGGGAGGGAGGGACCGCATGTGTATTGCCCCCATTGATCCGCTTTTAGTCTCGAGCCAGGATCAAAGGAAATGGCATCAGGGAGGAAGCAGGCTTCCTTTAGGCACAGATCCCAGAGTGATAATGGGGTAATAATAGAACGCACGCCACTGTCGATCGCTGGCTGCATCTGTCCCAGGCTCATTGCCTGTCTGGGGGCTGTGCAGAGACTCCTGGCTCATGGCGTGAGCGTCTGCCCTGAACCCCTGGGCCACCCCCTTGGGAGGGGCCCCTCTTGGCTTCCGGAGGGAGGTGGGCTCTGGAGCACTGGGGCCTGGTTCCCAGGGGCTGCCCGCGGAAGCTCTGCCATGAGCCGTGTCCGTGACAGTCCCTGATCCAGGAGGTGAGCGGTGTGTCTTGTTGCTAATGGGAGAAGGGCTTCAGTTGTGTGGGTGGTCCTGTGGCGCGCAGGGGTGAGTGATGCCCCCGTGACAGCAGTGAGAGGCTGTAGGAAGAGTCTGGTCTTGCTTGCTCCCTGCCGTTTGTAGATTAGGAGGGTGGATTTGGAAAAATGCATACTTTCTTTCCCGAGAGTCTGCGTAGGAACTTGTTAAAGCCGCTCGGGAGTTGTGCAGCTTGCCTCAACTCTTAGTTGAGTTGGAAAAAGTATGAGGCAGACTGGTTTCTGTGCACATTTCTCAGCAGTTATCAGCCAGGGAATCTTCGGTGTTTAGAGCAGGCATGCGGACTCCGGAGCTCCCTCGCACCTGGTGTTTGTCCTTGGTCGCCCTCCCTGCGCGTTTTATTCCTTGTGCTTGTGTCAGTGAGCTTTGCACGGGCCCCGTGAAGTTCTCTTTCAAGTACCCCCATGACTCTGGCACCGCAGAGCCTTATTTTGTCTAAGTTTCCAAGGCAGATGCATTTTAAAAATACTGAGCTGGTCTCCATATGGAAAAAATAATAACCCGTCATGAATTCCTTGTTTATGCAAAGAAAGGAAAAAAGGCTTTCTATTCCTGTCCCTGTTGAGCTGCGGATGCGAGTACGGTTAGACCCCCAGACATGCAGGCAGTTGCCCTCTCGGAGAGAACACCCAGAGACGGGCACTGTTTTCCCTGATCACTCCGTGTCCATCTCCTGTAGCACTGCCTGTTAGAACACAGTTGGCCCAGGAGTCATGTGAAATTTAATTTGATTTCTACGTGGGTGGGAGTGGAATGAGCCACACAACATTTCCCATTACGCCTGTGCCAGCTGCCAGGGCGGGTCCCCCGCCCAGGGCTGCCTCTGAGCACATTTGCTGGTGTCTCATATCTTTCAGTTGCTTTGCAAACATTTTGATTTATTACACATTTTTTTTCCCCTATTTCATTGTAGGCCGGCTTTACAGGGAGCAAATGTTGATTTTTAACAGGGGAAATGTACTGCATTAAAGTGTAACTGCTTACCGCGTCTTTGCATTAATACCCGCTTCTCACGGTCTCTAATCTCATTTCTGGAAACCGATGTCGTGTTCACTTACTTGTGAGTGAAAGACAGTTGATGCTGTTGTCCGCCCCCCGTAAGATAGCATTTGCCCATGGATTTTTCTCTACTTTTCTCATTGTTCAGAAACCACATTTCCCCCTTCCCCCGCTGTGGATGAGAGGTATTGGGGAAAGCCAGATGGTCCGGGTTTGCTTATGGGAGCCATTGCTACAAGTCTGTCCTGAAGAGTGGCACCAGCCAGAGTGCCCGAGCGCTGCAGCCATGTGGGTCCTTGGTGGCTGAACCAGCCCACCCTTGCATCGGTGTGCGGTCACGCCCTGGCTGGAGGAGGAGCCGGGCCCGCCCTTGCTCTGTAACCTGCCTCCTGTTAGGCTGATTCAGGATCCTCCCAGGCCCGGCTGCCTTAGAAGGTCCTCCCGTCTACCTGAAGTCAGGGGCTTAACTTTGCTTAGTTCCACTGTGTAAACTCTGGGGAGAACAGGAGCCCTCCAGTGCCTTCCTGCTGTGTGTCTGCCCAGATCCGTGCCCCTTCGGCTTGGAAGAGGCTGGCCGGCGTGGCGGGGAAAGGAGGGACGGATGGATGGATGGATGGATGGACGGACGGACGGATGGACGGACCAACAGGTGTGAGTGAGCTCAGGCATTTTGATAGGTGCATGTTTCAGTAATTCTTCTGTGTGGAGCTGGAGTTGGGTTGGTTGGCTAAGCCCAGTTGGGGTGGATGTAGGACCCAGCTAACATCCTTCTCAAGGGTCTGCAGTTTAAACCAAGTGCCCCGCGGCGTTCGCGTTCTGACAATAGACCTCTTTGTGAGCACCAGCCCCTAACAGGGAGATGCCTGCCTCTCTGCCCGTTCCTTCCCTGTAATTCTGCAAATTGGCAGGGCTGGTTCCCGCCGTATTCAGTTAGCAGACTGGCTCCGTCCCGAGACAGTGGGGGATCTGCGATGGATCAGGGCTTGTTGGTACCCAGAGTGGCGCTCTCCCAGAAAGCAGCCATCCCGTGAGTCTGAGGGGCTCCTACTGTCTGTCTCCAGGAATGCTCTTACTGGGTGTGGGGGGCGTGGGGCAGGCAGCCTCGCCAACCCCCAACCCACTCTGGGGCCCTGCCATGCCACACGTGGCTGGGAGTTCTTGTCCTTGGACTGTGGTTCCCTAAGGGCACAGCAGAAGGGAGCTGGGCTGCTGCAGTAGGCGCCTGTAAGGGGCACCCTTTGGGGTGCACTCGGGGCTCAGCTGCCCTCTGATGTCGGAGGGGGAGGCAGAGAGCAAGGGGGACCCCGCAGGAGGACCCCTCCTGTTGGCAAGAGGGCCAACAGGGAGGGCCAAGGACAAAGTTGGCTCTGGCCTGCATGTCTGGAGCCCCTACCAGGACTGGTGCTCAGGGCGTGGACAACCTGGGAGGCTCGCCACAGCCTGGGGTCCTGCACCTGGCCTCTTGAACAAAGCAGGGTTTCCTCTGCTGTCAGGAGAGTAGCCTCGTAACCATAGAAAATGGAAGGCTGATGTCTTTGTTGGTAGTAGCCGTGCGGTAATCTGATCCCTAAAACGTCTCACAGGCATGTGACTTCTTGGAAAAGCAACTGTTAGTAATTCTTTGGGTCCTTGTATAGAACCTCACAGGTCAGTGCTAATGGTAGGCGGGTCTGCCGCAGGTGCCTCGTTGTTCCTCCTGTGGGCCTGAGAGAATATCCAGGGCCTGGCTTATGCAGAGAGGACGAGCGGTGTGTCCCCACCAGCCTGTCTCTCTGTAGAAGTCGGGGGATAATTATTAGAACTCGGGGTGAGCACGTCTAAGAAAGGCTTTCCTTGTGAATGACGTGAATGTTGTGCGTGCGGTCTATCAGCTGGAGGCCCGCAGCTTTTCCCTCGTGCTTCAGTCATCATGCACATTTTGGATGAGACAGACAGACAGACAGTGAGGGAGCAGTCAGGCAGATTACCTGCCTGGGGGCAGAGGGAGAGAACCCAGCAGGCGAAAGCATCTCTCCTGGCGTGACACAGTGACAGTCACAATGCAGGTGTTGGTGGGAATATTCTGTTGATGCGGTTGGCCTCTGGGCCTGACATGTGGGTGAGTTGACAGGGAAGTGTTGGGAATGGTGGAATTCATGGTCATGCCTGTGAAACCTTGTTCCTCCCGTGCTTGACTGGTCCTCCCTCCAGTGGTGCCGTGCAGTGCAGTGCAGTGGTGAGTGGGCAGATGAACCCTTGCCGGCACGAGTACTGTCAGTCCACACATCAGTTCGCTTGTTTTTGTGCCACGTAAAGACTGTCCTTTGGTAGCACCATGTTTGACTTTGTTCTGTGAACACCCAGGAATACGGATGCACAGGTGTGTGGAGCTAGGTGCATTTTTGGATATGTTATAACAGCTTGTTTAATGAAGGGATTATGAGACAGGGTTCACGTTTCATGACTTGCCCCTTATTTCTTGGTGTGAGGCAGGTGTAGTTACAGGGCTTAGTGGTAAAGGAAATACGAGAGCTGATTCTTTGACCACACTCGCCTGTGCTTGACTGGAGTTGGAAGGCTCGTTGGGTCTGTCTCGGCTGAGTGACGGGTTTTGGCGGGTGCCTGCTGTGGAGGCAGGGACCTCATAAACCATGCTGATGTTTAAGGCGAGCACCAGTTTGGTCTGAGCTGAGAAGCCATGGAAAGCAGAGAGCGTAGTCAGACCCCACCAGGCAGTGCCTCTGGGGAGATGGTGTAGCCCCAGGGTCTGAGCAGAGCCAAGTCCATGGTCCTCAGGTGCCTCAGATCTAGACTGAAAGTGCCCAGGTTGCCCCAGCTTTGCTGGCTGTGGTCTGACGTTTGGGTTAATCTCTCGACAACCAAATGGCATATTCACAGGCTGTCTGCTTTGTGCCCCCAGCTTCTCCCAGACCAGCTTGTCTTGCTTCTGGAGCGTCTCCTGGAGCAGCAGACACTGAGCCCCCGGACACTGCGGAGCCTCCACAGGACGTACCGCCTCCAGGAGCAGGACGCGGAGGTAACCCAGCACGGGCACGGGCACTGCGGGAGCACAGTCCCACGTGTTTGCTTTCTGGGCAGAGAGCAAGCGCCGTAAGGAGACCGTCAGCTGCTTGCTTCCTTCCGGGGCTCTCATGCGTCATGCTTGTGCTTACAGCTAGAGTATTTTGAGATCCCAAGGTTTTCCCTCTGATTTTTCTTGAAGGAATTATTTATTTATTTAAAAGTCAGAGTTGGAAAGAGAGAGAGAGAGAGAGGTCTTCCATCTGCTGGTTCACTCCCCAGATGGCTGCAATGGCTGGAGCTGTGCCGACCCAAAGCCAGGAGCCAGGAGCTTCTTCCGGGTCTCCCACACGAGTGCAGGGGCCCAAGGACTTGGGCCATCTTCCACTGCTTTCCCAGGCCATAGCAGAGTGCTGGATTGGAAGAGGAGCAGTCAGGACCTGAACTGGTACCCATAGGGGATGCTGGCGCTTCAAGCCAGGGCATTAACCCGCTGAGCCACAGCGCCAACCCCCCCAAATGCTATTTTAATTGTGTTGGGTAAAGTATTACAGTAGTGATTTTCTCCGTCACCAAAATGGAGTAACTTGAGAAAAGCCAATTCCTGATGAAGTGAAAGGTAAGGCGGCTGCTGTTTTGCACTTTTAAAAGCCCTGTGAGTTCCGGAGCCATTGAAACACTCTGGAGAAGACAGGTGCACCTTGTCACCCACCTGAGCAGGAAGCAAGTGTGTAACTGTTGCTGTTTTAGGCCAGCTGTTAATATTTTTGTTTATAGGTGTTTGCAAATGCCAGACTGTTATTTTTAATTAGGCTTTCAAGACCGTCCTATTAATAGGCGTCGGGCTGTGTTTTAATCAAAGCTGAATGTCCCTGGAATGCCAAGCTCCCGCGACGAGCCCAGACAGACCAGGACAGGGATTGGAGCCGGTGCCAGGCACCTGTCCCTCTATGCCCAGAAGCCGAGTGGTGGTCAGCCCTGTTTCCCCCCTCCCTTTTGGCACAAGATGCATCCTGTTAGTGGCTCGCAGCCCTGCTTCCCTGTCGTATATAACCTCTGAAACCGCTTCATCCGGGGCAAGAGACCACAGGCAGCCTGGCTCCCTTTTGGTGACCGGCATGTCGGCATCACCGTGGTCCATGCCTGCTTGGCCTGCATGATGCGTGGAGTGGTGGGCATGGCAGGTGTGGGAGAGGTGGCCCTCAGGAAGCCTCTGCTGCCCTGAGAGGGTGGCTCTCGGCCAGTGAACACGACAGCACTCAGATGCGGGGCGTGGGGTGAGCAGGGCTCTGTTCCTCTAGACAGACGACTCTGAAAAGGGCCGCTCAGAGAGTGACATTTGGGATGGCGTCAGCCACACGGAACCAGGTCCAGACGGGGACAGCATGGGCTGGGGTAGGGGTCTGCAGGCCTCCTCCTGTAGGGGAGCCAATGTTAATGGGGCAGGCCACGCTGCCACTTCCCTGTGCAGTGTGGACGCTGTCATAGACGCTGCAGACACAAGACAGGTGTGGCTGTGTGCCAGTTAATGTCTCATGGACCCTGCAGCTTGGAGCCTGTGTAATTGGCACATCTCAAGATGCTCACCAAACCCGCTCTCCCCCGACCTCCCCGTTTTACCTTTTAAAACTATTTGAAGATTCCTACCCCAGTCCTGGCCGTGTGCTGATTGGGCCTACGTTGTCCTGCTTTGCTGACGCCTTGGGCTGGGGTCTGCAGGCTCCGGGGCCAAGCAGGAGCTGGGTCAGAGCACCCTGGTGCCGGCCCTGAGGTCCCGGTGTGTGGTTGGTAACCCCTTCTTTGCCGACAAGTTCCAAAGGTTGGGCCAGCCACGCTGTGGGTTAAGGAGGCTTTGTTGTGACACCCATCAGCAGATCAGATGGAGAATCCTCTTGCATTTATTTCAAGTTGCCGCAGATTGCATGGGAGAGTGGGAAGGTGTTGAGAACTTGACTTTGCTCTGCACGGAGGAAGTAAGGACAGTCCCCTGGAGTTGTCCCCGGGGCCCTGAAGGGGCGGCAGGTGTGTACTGAGTGTCCTGTGCAAGACAGCCCCGGAGGGCTGGCCCTGCTGCCCTGCCCGGGGTGCTGAGGTCGTGTCCACTGCAGAAGGCACCAGCCTGGGGTGCTGGGTGTCTCTAGGTCAGAGCACGGAGGGGTGCTCAGGACCTGGCGGTGGGGGCGGGGAGGGAGCCCAGGGACTGTTCTGTACTGGGGCCTGGGTGTGCCCCTTTGTTTCCAGGATGTGCAGGGAGGCCCCCTTGCTTTCCCTCTGTTCTGAGCCGTGGCGTCTTTGGCTGCTCACGCCCTCCTCGCCAAGTGCGCCGCTCAGCTCTTGCACTGGCCGAGCTGTGTGCCCCAGGTGCAGCACAGCGTGGACAGAGCGGGTCAGGAGTCCCGGCCTAGTGAGAAGCCTGCCCCAAGGACTCGGCTCCCCGAGTCAGGGGTCACCGTGGTTGTATCACCTCGGGGTTCCAGCTCTGTTCTCAGAGTGTCCACTGCAGCCGTCAGAACCTCTGGGCCCTGCGCTGAGCCGTATGGTGTTGCTTACAGGGAGTTTGTGTGCCAGCCAGCCATTGGTAGGGGCCAACCTGCTGAGCCCCGGCCCAAGTCCCGCCCACACCATCCCTGGCCCGCCCTGCCCCTCTCTGCAGGGAGTGCTGGGCTCCTCTCACCAGAAGCGCCAGGTCTGTCGCTCACGTGGAAAGTCACAGCCGTTTAAAATGCACCTGGCAGCCAATTCTGGGCACAAGAAGTGTACCCTGAGAGGCCTCTTTCAAAGCCAAACGCGCTCCCCGCATCGTTTCTGAACACTCAGAAGTAGCCCCTGTCCTCTGTCTGGCTCAGCTGGGAGTGGCGGCTGTTCAGAAGGGCCTGCCCAGCAGCCTGCTCTGCTCTGGTGTGGGACTGTTTGAGCCAGGGAATGAAGCCCTGGGGGAGGCCACCAGCAGCATCTGTCTGTCCACTCCCTGTCCCGAGGCTCACTCTGCTGGCCGCCACGCGTGGGTGCCTTCCCTGGTGCTGCCTGTCCCGTCTCCCTCAGGGCTGAGGTGTTTGTGCCCCTCCCCACGTGGAGAGAGGAGGGCACCTGCCCAGGTGTCAGCACCTCTTTCGTGTCTCAGTCTCCTGCACCTGGGCTGCGCTCCTGGCTCTGGCTGGGCAGTGAGCTGGACCCAGTCCTGGGCCGTGTTTGGACTGACCACAGCCCGCCCTGGGAAAAACTTGACGAAACTGCAGGCGCCGGCTTCTCTCTCTCCCGCTGGCTGTCCCGAGTGCAGGCCTCATTGCCAAGGCAACTGGCCTGCCAGGCCCCTGCCCTGCATTGTCGGGAGGCAGCATCATGTGACCAAGCACCATGAGGCACGTCTTTAGAGTGGACATCAGAAAAGGAGACCATTGTGGAGGGCAGAGTGGTGTGTGGCAATTAGTGAAGTGGCTCTCCAGGGCGAGGTCGAGGGGCCAGCTGCAGGTGGGCACGCACCCCTGCCTCCTGCAGCTCGCGGTGCTCAGCCTTGTGTCCCTCATCACTACGTCTTTGGTTCTGTGGCCTTTTGATGAGATCAAGCTCAGGTTGCAAACCAGAAGGCGAAATGCCCACAAATCTGAACTTCAGAATGTGGCCTGTAAGTAGTGGAACTCCACGTCAGGTTCTCAAAGTCAGGACAGCATCTGGGCGGGCGCACTGTCTCTCTGGCCCAGGATCTGCATTGCCTTCCTAGAGTGAGTCTCTGTGGTCACTTCAGATACGTCTTTCTTTTTTAAAACCATGTGCCTCTTCTGATACAGGCAAAAACAGAAACTGTTGGGTAATTCCTTGGTTCTGTTTGCGTGTTGTCTTGTTGTATTTGCTTTGTGAAACATTTAAGCAGTATTTGAAGACATTCCTTCAAAGTCGGGAAGTCTCTGGGTATTTCTTAGGGTTCTCTTTGTCACTCAGTTCAGTGCCCTTGAAACTTTCCTGTGGGAAGCCTGCCACAGATAGTCTCCCTGTTCCACTGTGATAAAGGGATTTAAAAAAAATTTTTAAAAACTGATATAAAACGACAAAGACTTTTTTTTTTTAAAGATTAATACTCCCCTGTTCTGAGGTTGGGGCCTGTGTTTTATTTACCATGGATTGTATAACCCACGGCGGCTGGTCAAAAGTTCGTTAATTGAATGAAGGTAAGGAAAAGTTGAGCCATGGATGGCATAATTTAGCTAACTTTTCTTAAAAGGACCTTTTAAATCAGTTTAGAATTTATCTGCTTGAGAGAGCAAGCAAGGGCATTAATAGATGGGTTTTCAGCCACAGGTTCAGCCAGATTTTATTAGGAAGTTACTGTTAACCGGCCACTTACTGTTCCTTGCTTTTTGCCTCTTCCACTGTGTTTAGCAGTTTGCCAACTTTTACAGCTATCTGAAGACTGAAGACATTATCTACTCTGGTTGTCCGTGGCTCCCAACCGTGTGTATGTGTATATGTCCTGGCTGTGTGTGTGTCCCTGTCTGTGTCCCAGGCTGTAAGGAGTTTGGCAGAATAGTGAAATGACCCCATTTTCCCAGGTCTCGGTAATGTTTCCTGGTACTTTTCTTCCCATGTAGCTAAGGAACCAGCTATGTCTCATTTTCATTTTTTCCTAAAGAGTTATTTATTTTGAAAGGTAGAGTTATGGGTGTGGGGGTGGGGGAGGTCTTCCATCTGCTGGTTCACTCCCCAAATGGCTCCAACAGGTAGGGCTGTGCCAGTCTGAAGCCAGGAGCTTCTTCCAGGTCTCCCATGTGGATACAGGGGCCCAAGCATTTGAGCCATCTTCCATTACTTTCCTAGGCACATTAGCAGGGAGCTGAATCGGAAGTGGAGTATCTGGGACTTGAACCGGCGCCCACATGGGTTGTCAGCACTGCAGGCGGTGGCTTTATCTGCTGCGCCACAGCGCCGGCCTCTCATTTTCATTTTTGCTCTGCAGCCCTCTGAAGTGAAACCAGAGGATGGGATTCCGTCGTCGCCCCCAGGTTCCGCAGAGCTCAGGCGGTA